TAGTGACTAAAGAACAACAAACAGCTCTTACTTGAAAGAATAGTAGTTTATATTCCTGATTTCAGCATTTTCTCTCAGTCTCTTCACTGTTTCCAGTGCTAAGTCTCTTCAGTAATGTCCAGCTCTTTGCAACCCCATGTACTATAGCCTGACATGTTCCTCTCTCCATAGGATTTTTCAGGCAAGAAGAGTGGGTTTCCATTTCCATCTCCAGGGGATCTTCCCTACCCAGGGATCGAATGTGGGTCTCCTGCATTGCAGGCAGACCACAGAAGCCCTTTCTTATTCTCAGCTATTAAATGGGAAATATTCCTAACCCATACGGTTAGGGTTAGGATAGGGTTGCAGCACACCAGGTTTTCCTGTCCTTCACTATCTCCTGGAATTTGCTCAGACTCATGTCCACTGAGTTGGTGATGCTATCTAACCATCTCATCCTCTGCTGCTCTCTTCTCCTTTTGCCTTTGATCTTTCCCAGCATCAGGATCTTTTCCAATGAGTCGGCTCTTCACATCAAGTGGCCAAAGTATTGCTACTACCGCTACTGAGTTAGGAACTATGATAATGCAGCACAAAACAAATCTGTGCCATTTTAATTCAACTGAATCTTCACTGAGTTTGATGATTCTGCCGGTGGCCTCTTGATCACTCTCTAAAATGACATTCCAATAGTGTCCCAGTCAGAGATGAGTTCTAGCTCCAGCTCTGCACCTGTCTGAGGTCATTTTGGGTAATAACAAACACAGTCTAAGGCAAGTTTATTATTTAAAAATACACACACATGCACATATATACACATATGTATAGTTGAACTAAATTTTTCTAAGGTCTCTTGAAGCTCTGTGGTTCTCAGACCCTACTTTATTGGGAAAATTTAAAGCATCAAACACTGATTTCCCCCTTCTGTTTTTCAAAATGTTTCTGTATCTAACCTCAATTCCTTCTTTCCTTTTCCTGAATACCCCGATCATCTGTACTCTCCACACTACGTCTGCTTTCTTTTTCCTAGGGACAGCCCACCCTTGTCAGCATCTTCACTCCCACTTGACCTCTTTATATAAACACTTGTCTTTCCTTGTTTGAAAAAGGAAATTTTTATTCGATCCTCTGTCCTCTCTAGCTGCTATTCTGTGCTCCTTTCACAGGCACTTTCTACAATTACTACCAATTTTTACCTCTCACATTCCTCGGCCTAAACCTCAGCTTCTATGAAGGACTTGGGCTAAATCCCATGTTCTCCACCTCTTCCTCATTTCTAAATACTAATGACAATATCTGCTAAGCAATTCCTACTCCTTTAGCTCTCAGGATCTCTCTATCTTGGCGTCTTCTTTACATTTCTGCCCCTACTGTAAACATGGGCACCTCCCACAGCTCGGTCTTCAGTTCTCTCCTCTCCATCCTAACCAAAAGTCTCTTGTTGTTCACTTACTAAGTCCTGTCCAACCCCTTGCCACCTCCATGGATGACAGGCTTCCCTGTCCTTCACTATCTCCTGGAGCTTGCTCAAACCCATGTCCACTGAGTCGGTGATACCACCCAACCATTTCATCCTCTGTCGTCCCCTTCTCCTCCTGCCCTCAGTCTTTCCCAGCATCAGGGTCTTTTCCAATGAGTCAGCTCATCCCATCAGGTAGCTAAGTTATTGGAGCTTTGGCATCAGTCCTCTAGACTTGACATTCAGTTCCGTTCCCACCACCACCTGGAGCCACTTCCCTACTTTAGAGAATGCCATACCTGCCCCATTCAACTCACCTGTCTCCTGCATCACCTGCAAAAACCCTGCAAAACTGCCCATTTTTGTTTTTTTAAGTCTCTGAAGTCGTGGACCAAAATGTGTCTCCAGCAGACTCTTTTATTAGTCTTACCCTTGTCTAGGGTCCCATCACCATCATCTAAGATATGCCTCCTGTCTCTCAACCCCTACTCCTCCACTCTTCCCAGACTTAGGACGTGCCCTCATTATTTCATATGTATAGCATTTGCAATACACACCTATTTGGTTTCTCTGTGACAGTTCTCTTCCCCTTTCAACACTTTCTCCAAACTGCTGCTAGAATGACAGGCTAATGCCTCTACAAAAATTCAGTGGCTTTCAGGAGTCCACAGAAGAAAGCTTAACCTCCGTCACAAGACCCTTAAACTCCCAACCCCTCCTATAGTTTATACTCCAGGACTATCAGACTAAGCTCAGTTCACTGTGCCTAGAATGCTAATTCAAGAAACAGTTCCATGTGCCCTTTGCCTAGAATGCCTTTCCCTAACACCTGTCTACCTAGCAAGTCCCTAGGCATCTTTTAATTCCAAACTCAACCCTCATCTCCTCTTTCAAGCCTTTCCTGTTGTCTCCATATAGTGTCCAGCTATGCCCTCTTTGCTAAGAGCAAAGTAAAGAAGGCTTGTTCAGACCTCTATTAAGTCTAATTATGTGTGTCTCCTGGGTGGGGGGGGGGTTCTTTGAGGGAGTGGTCTTGCTATCTCTTAAGTATTAATCCAGCATTTAACAACTGGGAACATTTTCACTTGCTAATGCCCTGGAGTACAGAGCTTTCTCTCAGAAAAAGTCTCCAAGTCCTGAAGGAAGAGAAGGTCATGTTAATAACACCATTGTAAAAAGACTACAAAATGGCAAGAGAGTGTACAATAATAGCAGAATACAACACACTTCCTGTACTTCTTTCATTAATTTCGTAAGTGTTTTTGCCTTTACTGTAACTTGACTAGAGAAGGCACTTAGAAGAGTTTAAATGAACCAAATATTAACCAGCCTCCGATGTGCAGGCTGATTTTATAATGGCCCTTGACCTGGAAATACAGGTGCATTCAAATATACACCCTGATAAGCAAGGACAGAGAGAGGATAGAGTTCAATGACTCAGAGCTTGCCAAGTCAAAAGTTCCTTGCGATAAATTCTAAAAGGATGCAATATTTTAGATATAGTTTGAAAAATGCTCATCCTTGATGATTTAGAAATCTTAACAGAACTGGTTACACATGGCACCATCTACTCTCAGAAAAGAGAATCCAGCTAGGTATGTATTAATGAAAACTAACAGAAACATAAAACATATACTGTGTGCATTGTGATCATACATATTTACAAGTTTGTAAATTTATGGATAAAGTAAGGTTGACAATAAAACCTAACAGTGCAGCACTTACAAATAAAAATGCAGTGAGATAACCCACTCACACATAGCTAGAGACAGCAGTTCTAATGGCTCCAATCAAACCAGAGAAGTAGTTTTCATTTTACATGTAGTATTAGGGTATTAAGAAACTAATTGCTTCAAAAGTTATTTTATGGATGGCTTCCTTGAACATGTTTTTTCTTTTTAAAAGCTTGTAATTTTCTCCCACTTAAGGAGGTGATCATGGGGAAGCTGGTATTTCCTTGGTTCTAAACTATACCAGTGCTAAAACAAAACAAACCCCAACCTAATTAATTCTATTTTTGGTCTAGTTTCCAAGGCAGTTTTCACAAAAACTATTCTCAGCCCACTCTTTTCAGCTTTGTAACATCAACCTTCAGTAGCCAGAAACTGTTATACTTTGTGTAATCCCTTGACACACATGTTCTATCATAGATCACTTTATTCCACCTGCCTCTCAAGGGTAAAGGGAAAAAAAGGATCTGTCTTTCCATTGATTTTAAAGTTTCTTTCCTAAAATCACTGTTGTGAGATGTGTTCCCACCTAAGTTTTATAACTCTGGTTACCTCAAGTTCATCAGCATCAAGTTTCTGGTGGAACCTTCCCCAAATAGGAACTGTAAGTCTCAGCAATAGTGTGTGAGTCGCTCAGTTGTGTCCAACTCTTTGCCACGCTAAGGACTCACGAAGCCTCTATCCATGGAATTCTCCAGGCAAGAATACTGGAGTGGGTGGCCATTCCCCTCTCCAGGGGATCTTCCCAACTCAGGGATTGAACCTGGGTCCCCTACATTGCAGGCAGATTCTTTACCATCTGAGCCACCAGGGAAACCCTTCTCAGCAACTGTACAAACAAGAAAAAAGGGAATCAGAGACAGTATCTAGTTCCAAGAGGCCACTGACCTGACCTGACCTTGAGCAATCTACTTCACCTCTGTAATACAAACTGCAGTACCTGCTTCCAAAAGATTGCTTCCAGAACTAGTCTCCGTGCTTTGAGTTTCTAAGATAAAATGAAATTTAATAGAAGATTTTATAAAACAATCTTATTGCCTGGCCCAATTTCCTAAACTGTCCAGGACAAAAAAGTTGTAAAACTGGATTCCCCCCTGCCCAAATTTCTACTTGCACTACTGTATTACCAAATAAGCTGAAATCTGTCTCTCTCCAACTTTTTAAAAAGCATTCTAGCATTACATCTACTTATTCTTCAAGGTAAAGTAAAGGCAATCTGTAGAGATGGAAATTTTAAAAGTCCTTATAAATTCACGTTATCAGGTCAGACGAAATCCGCTGGTAGAAGTGCATTGTCTGCCGCGGACTCAGAAGAAGCTGGAGTGTCACAATGGGGTCAAACCTCTGAAATCTATGATTCTGAGAAAGGACAGAGGAAACGAAAGTGCTGATGGAGGAGCGCGAGAAGCCGAGCGTCAGGGTCCGATGACAGGTTAGAAGCGAAGGTGCGTCTCTTAAGTTTAGTCCTAACTCTCCGGAGAAGAGGTGGGAGGCGCGGCTATTAGACTCTGCGAACTCTTAGGGAGGGAGGGACCATCCCGGCTCTAGCGTCGGCCCCAGACCCCGGGGAGGAGGGACTGGAATCGCAGAAAGTAAACTGGAGTCAAGTTGAATCCTGCAGCCTTCCCAGGAGCGGCCGCGGTCACCCCGAGAAGCGCACCGTCGCTAGGGTCCGGCTCCCACTGAAGTCAGCCGGGGCGGAGCGCGGCGCGGCCGGCAGCTTCACCTGACATTCGGCGGGGCCCCACCCTCGCTCCCTCCCTCCCAGGTGTCCCGGCCCCCATGAGACGCAGCCTGGGACGCTGGGGTTGCGCCTCTAGGGCTCCACTTACTTTGTCACTGGTGCTCTCGGTTTCGTGGTCGCCGCCGGCCGCCTCTCCCTCGCGGGGTGGCGACGCCGCCTCTCCCCCGGGGCCGGGGCCGCCGCCTCCCCGGTGCCTGAGTTCCCACATCTCCGGCTCCCGCGCAGCCGGGCCGGTCTCCTCCAGCGCCCCCGAAATCCGAGCTTGCGCGCGAGGTCTCGAAGTCCGGCCGAGCCGCGGCCACTCACACGCCTCCCCCCGCCCCCCCGCACCCCACCTGGAGGCGCCGCTGCCGCCGCCGCCGCGCGGGTCACCCCCAAAACGGCATCAACGAGCGAGTGCTCGTGGCCGCCTCCAGCGAGCGCGGCGCCGGGGGCTGGCTCGGGGAGCCCGGCCCGAGCGGAGAAGGTGGGGGCGCGGCGGAGGGCGGCCGCTGGTTGCCAGGTGCGCGTCCCCACGCGGAGGCCCAGGTGGAAGGAGGAGAAAGGACCGGGAGGGCAGGAGCTAGCCTGACCCGCTTTAGCGCTCATCCGGGGCGCCCGCAGCCCGGGCCCTGCCACTCCCCGCCCCGCCCCCGGACTCAGGAGTCAGCCGCTCCCGGCCCCCCTACACCTTTCTCCCGGTTCCTGCCTCCTGCAGCCAGGTCACGCGCCGCAGGCCCCGCCCCACCCCGCCCCTCTGCGCTGCACTGCGGTTCCCACAGCCCCGCCTCCCTCGCTGGGGTGACGTCATGGGTCCCGACCCGAGGCTCCGCCCCGGCCTCCCGCGAGCGCGCAGGTGGGGCTGCTCGCAGGCAAGGTGCGGGCTGGAGCGCGCGGGAGGAGCAGGGAGGCGGAGGAGGGTCGAGCTGCTTGCTCGGAAGTGAGGGCTGAGAACTTGTGGACTCGCCCCGGAGCCACTGGGAGGGCCGGAAGAACTCCTCGAAGGCCGCCCGGTCAATATAGACCGCGCTCGGCCCCTACCCCTTCTCAGGGCTCTCCGGCAGCGCCGCGGCAGCTTGACACACCTCGGCGTTCAAACCGCAGAGGTTTAGGAGGTGTCCAGAAGCAGAAACCTGTCGGGCTGGATGAACCCGACGACTTGGCGGCGTTCTGCCCGGTGTCATCACCTGCAAAAATGGGAGATGCGTTGGCCTCACTGGGCGTCCTGGGGTGAGTTGGCCAGTTTCAACAACATGCCCGAACTGCTTCTCCAAGGAATTCGCGGATTGAAAGCTCTCAAAAAATTCACTGCCGAGGGCCTGGAGAGAGAACCAGGACTCTGAGATGCCACCAGGTGCAGTTGCCAACCAGCTAATCTCTAAGCAGTCATGGACCTTGAGCTGCTAAAGTTGGAACAGGAAGGGCACGAGATCCGCCTTAATTCCGTTCCAAATCCTGTTAGAAGGTGATTACTTTTCTTGACACGTATGGACCACCTGGTCATTACTGACAAGCTGACACAGGGGCGAGGTGTGGGGAGGAGACAGGCCATCATACAAACAGGACCGTGTTTAGTAGGACACACTTACAGAAATAAATCAAAATATAAATCTCCCAAGGTCATTACCGATCCACTGAAAACAAATAAGGTGGTTCTGAAAACTGAATAACAAGCAAAAATAAAAAGTCAAAGTAGGATGCACTGAAAACCAGGGCACAAAGACATTATTTTCCATCATCAAACAGATCTTTAAAGCTCTGAGTTCAGATTGGGGTGTCATATTTTCAAAGGGATAGAAAGGAACATCAGTCTTCTGGGAAGAGCAAAAATGACAAAAGGTATGAGAAAAGAAGTCCTTTGAGTCACAGTCATGGCGTGGTTATCCTTAGGAACAGAAGACTATAGGGTGACTAGTTTAATCCACTGTTCTTCATTTCTTTGGAGAACCAGAGTTAAAGCACTGACTGATTCTCAGGAACATAAGGCTGAAAAGACTGAGGAAGGCAGTGATGGAGTCTCCCATCTGAGGTCTTGTAAAGAAGCCTGAGTTCTAGCTCCACCGATGTCACTAATTGGGTGTGGCCTTGGATAAGTCACTAAGCCTCAGTGTCCCCAACTGTAAAGTGGATAGTTGCAAGGATGGCCTTTGTGGTCCTTTCCAGCTTACAAATGATTCTGCAACTAAAGCCTCTTTTCATCAGATTCCAGTCCTTCCTTTCTCCCATGGCTCAAGAATAGGGGACCTGGTATGGCACCCAAATGGTTTCCTCCTTCCCCTAATCGACCCAAGACCAGTTAAAAATGTTTCTTTATTTTGGGCTGTGCTGGGTCTTCGTTGTTGTGCAGGGGCTTTCTCTAGTTGCGGTGAGCACAGGCTACTCTGCAGTTGTGGAGCCCTGGCTTCTCATTGCAGTGGCTTCTCTTGTTTCAGCTGTGGGTTCTAGAGCACAAGTTTAGTAGTTGGCACTCAGATTTAGTTGCCCTGCAGCATGTGGAATCTTTCCAGACCAGGGACCAAACCTGTGTCCCCTGCATTGGCAGGTGCCTTCTTAACCACTGGACCGCCGGGGAAGTCCTGCAAGAGCTCCTTTGACTTTGTTCTGCCTTTGCTGTGGGAGGGGGAAAAAAAGATGATGAGAAAGGTAGTGAGAAAAGTGTCAGGAGGGAGTAGAGGGCAGGAGTGCGTGCCAGAAGAAACAGTAGTCCCAGACCAGGAAATGTGGGCCCAGGTACTTAGACTGCCAAAGGAAATGGCAGCCCACTCCAGTGTTCTTGCCTGGAAGTCCCCATGAACAGAGGAGCCTGGTGGGCTACAGTCCATGGGGTAGCGAAGAGTTGGGCATGACTGAACGATTGAGCCCAGAGTAGTTTACTACTTTATCTCACCCTTCCTTAAATTCTACTTCCTGTGTTTCAGCACAGATGGTCGTTTCTTTCTGTCTTCATGGTAGTTATTGCTACTCATTGAGTGCTTACACTGAACCGAGACAGCAGGAACAACTTTCTGTTCATCCTCACAGCCCAATCCCTTGCAACAGTGCTGGCCCCCACCCTCATCCAGTCAACACTTTGTTGAAGTGAGTGAAGAAATGAATGAATAGCAGAGGTACACATAACCAGGGAAAGGTATATAGTATTCGCATTTTTTTAAATAAAAAGTCTATATTAGCCTTAGAAAGGTATTCACGTGTCTTTGTTTTTCACTTGACATGAAAAAGATTGATTTTAAGATGTATTAAAAGGGGGTTATAGTAATGACTGGTACATTTTATTTAGTCAACCACACTGGCCTTACTGTGTCTATGGTGTCAGACTTTCTCAATGTCTTTTCTTTTACATTTTTTATCTTTCATTTTCCATCATTCAGGGAGCTTACCTTCTCAGTTTATTACACTTACGTTAGGTGACACAAATTCTGGCATGTAAAAGTTTCTAAGGTCTCACCTGTTAGTTTTACAAGAGTTTAATCTGCTAAAGGGCATTATGTAAACTCTGAGCACATAGGCTAATCACAGGAGACACTTGGCCAATGTTTCTTGGTTGATTTATAGATTTTCTAGTATGTTGAAATGATATATAAATCTGAGTGAGGCATTTGCTAGAGGGGGAAGAGAGAGTGCTAACTGTATGATTTTTATTAGATTTTCAACCTTCTCCTTTGCCCAAAGATGAAGGGATCCCTTATCACCCTCTTCCCTGAGTACCCAGAATGTTCCCAGACTGGTAAACATTCCCCTCTTGTGTGGGAATTTGAGCTGCTTTCCACATCAGAGCACAGAGGCGCCCGACTGGAATGTCCCCGGCCTGCCAGGGTAAGAAGAAATCTTCCTCAGCCAAGCGTTTCTGGTTGCTTGGACACGCGCACTATAGCTTTTGTCGCTTGATCTGTCTGTCTTTCTCTGTTGCCCTCTGTCAATTCAGTCTGTAAATCAGAGGTAGAAATTTATTTATTTTTAGCTTTTTAGTTTTATATTGGAATGTAGCCAGTTAACAATGGTGCGACAGTTTCAAGTACACAGCAAAGCGACTCAGCCATAGATAGCATGTATTAATAACCTATCAGTGAAGTGTTAGTTGATTAGTTGTGTCCAACTCTTTGCAACCCCATGGACTGTAGCCTGCCAGGCTCCTCTGTCCATGGGATTTCCCAGGCAAGAATACTGGAGTGGGTTGCCATTCCCTTCTCCAGGAATCTTCCTGACCTAGGGATCGAACCGAGGTCTCCAGCATTGCAGGCAGATTCTTTACCATCTGAGCCACCAGTGAAAGTGAAAGTCACTCAGTCATGTCTGACTCCTTGCGGCCCCATGGACTGTATAGTCCGTGAAATTCTCTAGGCCAGAATACTGGAGTGGGTAGCCATTCCCTTCTCCAGGGGATCTTCCCAACCCAGGGATCAAACCCAGGTCTCCCACATTGCAGGCAGATTCTTTCCCAGCTGAGCCACCAAGGAAGCCCAAGAATAGTGTAGTGGGTAGACCCAAGAATCAAACTAGGGTCTCCTGCATTGTAGGCAGATTCTTTACCAGCTAAGCTACCAGGAAAGCCCGTCTGAGCCACCAGGGAAACTCCAAATACCTATCAGAGGTAGAAATGTATGATTTCAGGCAACCAGAGAAACATTTTGTGGTAAATTATTGAAGGACAATTTATGTGCACATCCTTATTTTCAATGAAACTGCAAAGGAAAATAACAGTGTACAGTCACTTACATCTGTTTATCACAGGAGCAAGTACAGCTGTATAGAAAGAAGCAAATTTTATATATAGGCAACCCCGATTTCAGGTCTTCCCTGATGGCTTAGCAGTAAAGGATCTGCCTGCAATGAAGGAGCCAAAGGAGACACAGGTTCAATCCCTGGATAGGAAGATCCCCTGGAGGAGGGCATGGCAACCCACTTCCAATATCCTTGCCTGGAGAATCCCATGGATGGAGGAGTCTGGTGGGCTACAGTCATCAGTCAGATAACTTAAATCCTCCATGCCTCAGTGTCCTCATCTATAAAATGAAGATAATAAGGGCGATAATACTTTCCTCCTAGCATTCTTATGAAGATTAAACTGGTTACTATACATAGAGTACATAGAACAGTGCTTGGTCCTAGTGAAGAACTCTATAGGTGTTACCTATTATTGCCATTTATATGATTAAAAGCTCTGTTTCTTGAGGAAAGCAATATTCAGCTTTTAAACTCACTAAAGCTGCAACACCCCAGAGGATTTTGAAG